AAAAAATATAACTAAAAGTACAGAAAGAAACATTAACCCGTAGAGGGAGTATGTACAATTCTCTCTCTACTCATTATCCTTTACATTTTTCGAACAAATTTACTTCCCCGCTAAAAAATCTGTCAAATATTACACCATTTTTAAAAAGCGCGCCGCCTTAGTAGCACAAAAAGTCGTGGTGCTTTTATTATGCCACGTCTGCCCCGCCCACTTTGAGCTTCCACTTATTTTTTATATTCCGTGTGTCCTTTATGGCGGCTCTTCGCGTTGGCCAATATAGTGGCGAATGTGTTGGCAGAGTTATTGGCCAAGAATTTGTGATAGCGTCCACACGTTGGAAGGTCGTTCAGTTTGCTTTGGTTCAGGCCAATGTGCGGACGAATTTATTAAAATGATTATTGAAGCGCTAACGGCTGTGGCGGTTTATTTATTCACAGCATATCACTATTTTTATTAAATTTTCACATTTTTTAATATTTAATTTTTTAATATAAATTTTTAATATTTCTTTATTATACACTAACGTTATACAGATAAGTAAACTATATAAACATTAACACACCTAGGCATAGGTATAAGTAACACTTTTACAACTAAAGCCTGGAAAATATTATCTCTCTTCCATAGCTAAAAATTACAGTATTATTAAGGAAATAAAATAACTAATAGGGAATAATAAAGACATTAAAAACATGATTTTAGTATCCCACCTTTTAATTTGATTTTAGTATCTTACCTAGTCTCATAGCATTAATACATCAATAAATCAATTAATACATCAATAAATAAATTAATACATCAATCACTACAACGTGAATGTGTATAAGAAAAGGGTGATCAAAAAGAAATGGAAAAAAAGAAATTTTATTTCTTGACGGCGCCGTGGCGTAGTGGCTTAGCAAGGAGTTGCTGCGCTGGGGGCCGCGGGTTCCAATCCCGCACGGAACAAGTATTTGTATAGCCTGCACATAATTGCCCCGGGTCTGGATGTTTGTTCTTATGCAATTTATGTTTCTAAACTGCCTCCACGATACAGGAGAAAATCCTAGTGTGGGGGTAACGTTTTTTTTTTAAAAAAAGACTTGTGTTTCACAAACAATTTTCGGCTTGGTAGGGCTCTATAAAGTGAAAAGTTTTTTCATTGGTCGTTGTTACTGCCATTATGTAGACACTAGTTACGATGCGTGCATATATGAATTTAAATCAGGTACGTGCAATCACTCTGGGAGCTCGTAGCAAACTGAACGTGCGCCCAATGTGTGGACGCGGCGGCCAATACTCTGCTACAACCCTTTGATCTTTTGTAAAAAACCGACACCAGACGGATCTCGCGCCAACTTGTGGGCCATCGTTCCAATACGTACCAACGTAGCTTAAACACCCGCTCTACACGATGGCCATCGTTGTTGGCCAACACATTCGCCAGTATGTTGGCCAACGTGAAGAGCCGCCATTACAGCTTGATATTTAAATATTAATCTGTATACATTACCAAAGAAAACATTTTTAGTGCTGCCAAGGACTTGAATTTTGTACATTTTACGTATGTTTTTATACAACATGTAACAAAAACCCTGTAGTTCCCATTAAGTACGTTATCAGGATCAGTATTCAAACCTATAGAAATAACTTTTTTTTTAAAACTCGACCAATTTTTTTTTAATTTTATTAAAAATATTGTTTTAATTTTATGTGGTTTTATTACCTCTTATTGACACTAGCCGATACTAAAACTAAGTAAAGCGGGGTCTTTGACAATCCTCGTACCCAGACAATGCAGAGGTAATAAAACCATATACAATTTGCATGCAATTATTTTTTTTCAATACAATAAAAAAATGATTGTTCGAGTTTTTTAAAAAAAAGTTATTTCTATACGTTTGAATAATGATCCTGATAACGTACTTAACGGGAACCACAGGGTTTTTGTTACATATTGTAGATTTAAGTAAATTGTATGGTAAAATAATTTAGGCACATATCTGTAATTTTTTGAAAAATTATATTTATTGAAGTGAAAACTTCTTTAGCCGCGTTGAGCGATTTTCGGTAGGGGAAAATCTTGTAAGTTGGCGTCACCGATGTGACGCCAACTTATAAGATTGTTTTGCACACATGCTAGCATGCTTGCGAGCATGTCGACGTCATGCAGAGCATGTCTACTTTGCGTCGCTAGTCTATATTATTGAGTTTTCAGTCCTTATGACTGCCTCTGTTTTTTTGTTATAGAAACTATACTAGAATTATTTTGTCCATGCAATTTGTGTTTCACTCTCTCCCGCTCACGGACCTTAGGGGCGAGCATAGTGATACGCATTATTGCTGTCGATAAACGTTATCGATAGTGTATTTAGTTATGTCATTACGTGGGTTAGTAGTGATAAAAATGAAATAAAGTAGATAAAACAACCAATTTATTAAAATAAGAATAATAATGATTTAAAATAAATTATTAATTAGGTATCTATGTGTTAAAAAAACTATAAATATAAATGTTTGGAATGTAACAAATTATATTAAAAATAAATATAAAGGTATAAATCATTTACATTATTATGTAAATATTATAATTAATAAATATTTATTAAATAAATATAAAAATCATTTGTTGTTATCGGTAATGGCGTTGCGCCCGCGCAACATGCTGAACCATTGAGTTATACGTACTAGAGAAGCCATTCCGAACATTGACTATGTACAACTGAACTGTAGTGCAATCCATACAAACAAAATATTGCGTAAATTGAAGATTTGTGAATTCCATAAAATAATTATTATTACATTTTATTTAGAAATATGTTTGTTTAGATTAAATTAAGATATTTTATATTAAATTCTTATATTTATTTTATATTAATATCTTATTTTATATTAAATTAAAGCCTTCGCGCATGCGCGACTACTACTCCCGCGCATGCGCGAAGACATAGAGTAGGACACAATTTTTGTTTGGAATGTCTTCTCTAGTACGTAGTACATATAACTCAATGTGCTGAACACTCTAGCCGGGTTGAGGCCGAACTATGATTTATGACCCCAACTGCACACCTGCACAGAGAAAATAAATTTACTATAATTTGGGTTTGTTTTGGTCAGTTCCGACAAAGAAATCATCAACACGTATCATTTTCAGTATTATATCGTATCATATTTCCGTAATAACTCGTAGGTAGATTAGTAGTAACTTCAATAAAATAAAATTTTTGTTAATTTCATAATTTAGGGTAGATCATATATTCAATCTTTCATTTAGTAACTTTTAGTATAAAATGTAACTTTTCAGACAAGCCAACCACCAACCAAAGCCAAAGCCAACGTCAAGTAACTTGACTTCGTATACTGGTATACAGTAATCTGTGACTTGACTTAGGGGTGTCCACTTTGAAAATACATCGATGTTTTTTTTCGATGTGATGCATCGAGACTGTGCATCGATATATTCCGATGCATCGGTGAGAAACATCGATGTTTTTTCAATATCGAGTACTTTTTATGACTTTACATTATAAATCTGTAGTTAACTTCCTGACACCCTATTCAAACAACCGACAATTTGGAATGATCTCTTATTCTTACATGTGTGTGTTCAAGGATGTTAAACAGTTAGATAGATATTCTTTATATAAATAAATTATTACCTACTACTAAATGGACGGCGGGTTTAGAACATAATTTACGAAAAATGTGTCCCGAGTCAACCTATATAAGCGTATTATATATTTAATTTTACTTGCGACAATTTATTAGCCTTTCAACTTCAACCAGAGGCTGCTCATCTTATGCAGCTTTTAGCGAAAATTATCGGTATGATTTTTTGTTTTTACAATTAATGTGAATTTATTATTTAAATACTACGTATCTTGTATCTAAGCAAAATATTACTTTTAAATTATTAAATATTAATAGTTCTTATCGAAAATATATACAAATATAGATAGTTTGGCGCCTTTTATGATACAGTACGGCATTTTGGAGTGTATTACCGGTCGACAAAACGAAGCCTGGCGCGCAATATTGGAACTTTTTGCTTTTGGAACACTTTTGACTCGGACAAAGCGCAGAGCCGAAGTCCATTTAGTAGTAGGTCAATGTTTATGATATTATTTTAAATGAAAAAAGCATGCATCACATTAAAAATACTTACATAATGGAATATAGCTCCATCTTTTTGCAAATTTTAAGTATTTTGACTGCTTTATGTATACGTTAACCGCATTTTTCAAAGAACACCTACGAAACGAAACGATTATCGTATATTATGAAATCGATTTCGTAAACAGTTTTTATAAACGCACAAGCTTTTAAATTCAATACCTTGGCAGAGGGGAATAATCATGCGAGCGTGGTCCTTCCCCGGTCGAGCCGACCCATTCGTACTACAACTATACTACTAATGCCAAGCCATGCTTCAGCTTTTAAGGACTACGTTATGGCTGTAATTAATAATTAATTAGTTGTTTTATCAATAAATATGGGCATCTATGTATTACAGTATCCACTTAACATCAAGTGGACTGTGCTCATTTGTCACCCTTATTCTTTTTTCTTATATAAAAAGAGCCAAGGCTATATTTACCATTATTTTGATTCATTAATATTTTGATAAAACTGGCGCCATTCTCAACGCGTGTGTCCAGCAAGACGTATAGACAGTTCTGATATTGCCCCGATCGCTGTTCATCCTAAATTGCCCCTGCGGCGCGCAAGTGAGTGAGTGAGCCGCCTTAAGACCGAGACAGGCCAGACGATTTTCTTTAAATTCTCTTTAACATACAACACGCCAATCTCAATTTCTTGATTCCGCTAAGGTACTGACAGCTGCCAACTAGCACCACCAACAGGTGCATCGTATTGTAAACATCGAGTGAATTCGATGCATCGATGTATATCGAATATCCCTAACTAGACTCATGGACTCAAGTTAGCTATGCCACGCTGACAGCACTGTTTATTTTTGACATTAGTAATATTTATAAAATGTTTATTAGTTTTTTTTAATAATGGATCAAAATAATCATACAAGGCGAGAATTAGATATAGATAGTTTTAGGAATGATGAACCAGTATACGATAGAGCTCGTATGAGAAGGCAGTCTGGTGGTTTTGTTGACTTAGGAAATGAGTCACAATATGGTACCGGTGGACATCAAGCTTCAGGAGCTAACGAAATATTTGCGGATATTCAGGTGAAAGTCTTACATTGATTCTTTTTTAATTAAGTTTCATACCCTAGTTTTAGATCTGTTCTATCGTCATCAATAAATAAGATTTCGCGTGATAATAAAATATGAAATCTGCTTTATTTAAGGGTGATGTTCCATGGTGGAAATCAAATTTTTTCATATCACAACCAGTTCTTTTTGGAACTTGGGATGGGGTATTTACATCTTGCCTCATCAACATATTTGGAGTGATTGTCTTTCTAAGGTCTGGATGGATAGTTGGCCAAGCAGGCTTAGTTAATGCAATATTCATTGTGATATTTACAGGTATGTATTTGTATTGTATTGGATTTAGTATAATGTCAAATGCATGTAGATATTTTAGTAGGGATAGTATATTATATATTTTGCAATATGTAATGTATTACATAGTGTTTTTGAAGTGTCAGTATAAGAGAATTCACGGCCCCAATTCATCCTAACAGTGTTTTAAGAAATGACATAGTATTTGTAACTGTTACCATTAAGGTGTTACATATGTTTGTTGAGGACATTGTCTAGTCTATGTTCATCTTAAGACATATATACTGAAAAATGCTATTCATGTGATAGAAATAGAAATAAAAACTAGTTTTTCAAAATAGATTATGAATAATGCTTACTGAAATTCTCTCTTATGTTTTATTTACCACTGGTTCAGAACATACTTCTGTTCAGGGAAGAATCAGCGAGAAAACCTGTGGGAGATAATTTTTTTTTTTGTAAAAAGAATAGCTTACAATTATCAGTAACATATTTACTTGATTAACAAAACAAAACAAATTAGAAATAACTTGGTAGTGATCACCTCATTCCTAGGGGTTATTATGATCCATTAATTCCTTAATATTGTAATAACTCTTTTTATACAAACTTTGTTTAATATAGTTTTTGAACTTTAATGAGATCAAATTTTGTATATATAGTATCACCCCAAGAATGAATTACTGACTCAGTGGAGTCAAGTAAGTGGTACTACTAGCTTGTGACTGTTTCTAGTATTTACCGAATGAATGTCACTTACTGTTTTAAAACTACTTCTATTTTAGTGTAAATATATATTACATTTTTGTAAATGTATTGAGAGACCAAAGTTAATACATTAATTTTCTTAAAATTTTGTCTTAGCGACTGTAGGATTTCTCTTAACCAAATATAATTTCAGTGTCAGTAGTATGTCCCCAAAATACCATATAATATAAATACAATAGAGCCTAGCTGTTTCAACACTGGTAAGACTTCTAATCATTTTACAGCATATGCTGCAGAACTTTATCTGCTTGCTAGTTTTAAAGTATGGGGTATGTAACTTAAAGCCCATTGAAGCTTTGCATCTAGAGCAATTCTAAGAAAAATGGTGGTATCGACAAGACTGCACTTCCTCATTTAAAATTAAAAAAAAAATTGTATTTAGATGTTTGACTTTTGTAGTTATATTAGAATTTCATACATTTAGTTTTACTACCATTTAAATGCAAATTATTAATGTTAAGCCAATTTGCTAATATAGATATTATAGATTATTTTATTTTTGTCATTTTAATTTGAAAATTCATTAAGCATCATCAGCAATATATCATGGTTATCCCCTACTACTGAAGTCATTAATATCGATAAGAAACAGAAAGGGGCTGGGAATTGAGCCATGAGGCCCGCCCATTTGTGCTAACAACCCATAAGAACTCATACAGTTAGTAACAACTATTTGTATTCTATTGTTTAAATATGAAATAATAAATTTACGAGCATCCTTTCTTACACCGTAGTCACCATGTCATTGAGCATAGTGTTTAGGTCAATTATTCTGCCATAATTGTCAGCAGATCGATGGTGATGTACATGCCATTGAAGTTGATTTGTATATCTATTTTTGTATTCTTTGAAAATGTCTTAGTCTTAGAGATAAGCTACTCTGTCTGTCTTTCTGCATTGATAAGTTTTGTACTCTGGTTCTGTACCCGAATAGCTATCTTACTTACTGGCATTGCTGAAGAGCTGTTGCACCAAACAAATTTCTACAGAATCCTATTAATAAAAGATTTTCTCATAGTCCACATATGCATGACAAAAAGGCAGATTGGACTCTTAGGACTTCCAATTTGCTGCAGGGTATGTAATCCTTTCTCTTATGAGCCTTTTCGAAAATCGACATGTCCAGGAAGCTGGAAGTCACAAAATTATGCGTGCAAAATGATTCTCAATGAATGCTGAAAATTGCTAGTAGACGTATAGTTCTTCAATAGTGACATCTACTTTTGTGAATAATACTTCTGCACCAAGCCTCTGGAACAACACAACAATGGAGCCTGGAGTCCACAGCTTCCGAATGAGTACCGATTACTTATTTTACGTGGTAGACCCATGCTGCAGCTATATTAGTAGTATAGTTGTAGCACGAATGGGTCGGCTCGACCGGGGAAGGACCACGCTCACACAGAATACCAGCGTCAAATAGCAGCTTAACACTGCTGTATTCGTATGAGTGTAGAGAACCGGGGACCCTTTTTACTGGAAAAGAGGCATTCCATCTTAGTCCTCACGAGTGACAACGCATCTGCATTTTGATTCGCAGACGAGGATAAATGTAGATGTCTATAGGTCGCAGCAACCACTTACCATCAGGTGGACTGAGTGCTCGCTTGTCACCCTTATCCTATAAAAAAGGCATCTGTGTGCTCGTTTGTAAAAGTTCTGATGTAATTCCATCTTCACAGTTGTCATTTGGTCATTATAATGGAGTAAATCACATTATCAACTGTCCGGGCTGGACCACACTTTTTGTGAGGTCGTTTCTGAATGAAAGTGTTCATCCTAAACCGTCTTTTATTCTCCGTGAAGTCTGCCAGCTGTTGCTTTATTTCAAATTTACCTACTTTCAGATCACATTCTTGTGCCTAACCGAGTCTTGAAAAATATCATAGTTCTCTTCGGGATTGGCCATTGTTGGTGCGTAAACCTGTACTCCATTCAACAAATACTGTTTGGTGACGCTATGTATAAGGCACGCAACCATTGTCAACATACTCCCGATCTTGATCATTTTGTAAATGAGAGCCATGTGGACTATAAATCCGAATCCTCCTTTGGGCTATCGTAACCAGTGGTAGAACAATTAGCTGGATTCGAGGATAGCCTCTATTGGGACCTCAGATAATTCTACAATATCCCAGCACAACTTGCCCATCTCTTCTTCCAGCTTCAGAATCTTCTTATCAGTCCTCAGGATGTGTGTGTTAAATGTTGAGTTAAGAGTTATCAAGGGAGTTAAACGAAACTCCGCCGGAGATTCTTAGCACTCTATCATGTTGTTTCCATGGTCACCAACGAACTTTTCATTAATTATTAGTAGCTTAGTTTTTATTTTTACTATTTTTCATTTTTCTTAATTATATCTAATTCATTATCAAGAAATTTATGGATGATAATAGCCCCTGGGAATGAGGTGATCGCAGGCTATTTCTAATTTTGGTTTTGTGTTGTTCATTTTGTAACATACATGATTGTAAGCTGTTATTTTTTTAAAAAGTCCTGCTGGGTTTCTTGCTGGTTCTTCCCAGGATAGAGGTTTTTTTTTCCGAACCAGTAGTAATTTAAACAAAAGAGTGACTTTCAGAAAGTATTATTTATAATCTACATTGAATATATATATATATGTATTTAACTAGTCGAAACAATAGTAACTGTGAATTATATTGGCCACTGGAGTGCACTTGCACAAGATCACACATAAATTATCGCGAGTATATAAGTATGGTTCATATAATAAATCCAGTAGGTCAGTTGCAATTACTGGTTCCACTTTATAATTGGTTATTAATTTTTGCCAGAACAAAAGTTGAAATGCATACACTTAACTACTAGATATTATGGCAATATTTAACTGATAATTATTTTCTTTTTCAGTATTTGTAGCGTTAATCTCAGTTCTTTCAGCTGTTGGCATTTGTGAAAGGTGTAGAATAGAAAGTGGTGGAGTTTACTTTTTACTGGGACATACTCTAGGATCCAGAATGGGTGGAACATTGGGCATGATATATTGTTTTGGACAGGTATGTGTATCTTTTCCATATGACTTCACTGCAAATTCTGTAAAAATGGTAAAAACCATAAATAATATATTTAACTTCACTCTATAACGTACATACGCCAATGGATAAAAGTACTCCACTAATTTTGCCAATTTTTGGCACAGCTAGTGTAAAATATTTAGATAGAATGCTAGGTTACCAGTGAAAAGGATCTCCGGTTTCTTATAAATAAAAAAGAACACAGCAGCATTGTGATAGTGTGGTCCTTCCCTGGTCGAGAATCAATATAACTGTGATTATAATTTTATTAAACATTTTTGTATTCTTTACTATTTAGTTCTGATAAAAATAATGAATTAGGGTAAATATTATTGAGAATGGTATGGAGTTTGTCATTTATTACGAGATATTTTTCAGGCAGTGGGTTGTGCACTCAATGTATTTGGTTTTGGAGAGTCAATGGCAAATTTAGTTGGCTCTGATAACACATGGGCAGCTCGTGGTTTTGCAATAGCTGCTGTTCTTTTGCTGGGAGTAATCAATGTTGCTGGAGTCAAATGGGTTATAAAACTACAATTTGTCTTGCTTCTCATTATTTTACTAGCTGCCTTAGACTTCTTTGTTGGATCTCTCACAACTGTTCCAAGTAAGTAGAATGTTACGCTTGTTTTTAAAGGTTACTACAGTACAATATTGGTTCCGGCCTTAATTTCATTTTATAATGATAATCTATGTAGATTATATAAAGCACTGTACTATGCATCACTATTTGCAGTAATGTTGTATATTATAGTGAAATATAAGAAATATTGGTATTAAAAAGCAATATTTACACCTCAATCAAATCTTCCTACAACAAAACCTTTTTTATATGGGTTTTATTTCAAAATAAACTTTTTATCTATGCGACTATAATCCTATAACACAGACACTGACTGACTCAGACACACACAGAAGTATACTCTTTTTGGGTAATCTTTATTGACACAATTTCACATTACTTTGCAAATATTAAAAACTAGGTTAGTGAGAAAATATTGAAAGTGTTTCAATATTTTCTCACTAAACATTATTAATTTAAACATTATTTATCTATAAATATGCGAAAAATGTTTCTGAAGTAACTACTCCAGCAAAATGTAGAATAATCTCGAAAAAATACGAAAACTAGTATTATAAGGGAGTTCGAATCATTGCAATGCTAATTGGAACACGACTTCTACAAGTTCAAACAAAGGCATTCGACTCGTGAAGTACTGGATAATCTCAACGGCGCCTTAGGCCTTAGTCTTAGGACTACTATCCAGGCAACTGTGATTAGGCGATATAAATCTTCGTACTCAGTTCTATATTATGTTAGGGTATAGTACCTACCGCTTTCTTGCACTCAACTACAGTAAAGTTCTGTTACAGTGGTTCCCCCATGTTTTGACCGATGGCACCTTAGAACTCCGAATCGAGAGATGCCAATTTCTTTTCTGTTCACAGAGTAGAAGACTTTTCAGCCAGTTTAGTGACAGGGGATAAACATTTTGTTCATTCAACAAAAGCCGCCATTTTAGCCAAAATGCAATCCTCATTTTGGAAAAACATTACTATTTTTTGATTCGCATAGAATTCTTTAGTGAGACACGCTGCTTGATACTGATACTGATGACATTGTCAACGTGGATATTTTGGTAAATTAATTCCCCCAGTTAGTCACTGTAACCCAAAAGAAAAATCGGCGAAGGACGAGTCTAAGGGAAAAACACTCTGTGGCGGCGCTGTCGTCGCGCCACAAGGAAAATACATCGAAGCCTAAATCGCGCTATCAAAGTTTCGAAGTATATGCAGTATTTATAGAATAGCTCCGAACTAATGGCGTGCGCCGGTCTAAGATTTATCGCCGGCGGCCCGCTGGGAAGAATTGGTCGGCGCTGCGTGGCTGTTTTTGTAAAAAAAAAACGAAATTTATGGATGTGAAATGTTTTATTCATATGTTTTTACAATTATTGTAGTTATCGTGTATGAAAATAATTTTATTTACGCGAGTAGGACTCAAACGTGCTCGCTTGGCATTTAAAACCAATCCAGCTATGGAAAAAACACGTTCACTTGGGGTGCTCGTTGCAGGAATCGCAAGAATAGTCTTGGCAAGCGCAGCTAGTCCTGGGAAAACTTTTTTCTCCCGCCAATAGGCACGAACATCCCCGTTCATGAATTCTACATCTTTAGGATCGATCGACGCTAGATTTCTCCAACATTCTTGGGAGAAATCTGACTCTGGTGGTTCATCAATGTTGCTGCAACTACTGTGCTTTTTCGATAATTTTGTCAGCAAAGATTGAGTCGAAAAAGAGCTTGGTTGTGGCTCTGATACATCATGATAAGCTTCACCAGATTCGGAATGTGGTAGATCAAAAGGCCTAATGAGCTCATTGATGCTATCTGCCAGAAAAGCCGCACGGTTTGTGCTCATTTCCAATAAATATGAATCGATTTCTTTTAATCCTGAAAATCTGGGATCTAGGAGAGATGCCAATACTACTTTCTTCGTTAAAGGAAACTTTTGGTCAAATTTCTCGAGTATCTTATTTTTAACGATATCATCACAGTGATTTCTTGGTGTCACAGTCACTTTGACTTGAAGTGATAGAGACAGAACGAGACTTAACGGTATCTTAAAACTCAGTCGCGTTTGAGTATTAGGGCATAAGTTCATTCACGCGCGATCGCATGTCGCTTCTGTTCGTCGACTGCTAGAGGAGCTTGCTTGGGATATGGTACCATCTGTACAATTTTTACGGCAATCTAATGATGTAGCCAAATTCTTTGAGTCTTACTTGACAGTTTAGGAATGATTTGTAGTTGCTACTACACAAATAGATGCAAGTAATACTGAGGGGGGACTATATTTTGAATAAATTGAATAAAAATATTAAATAAATAAAATTAAATACAATTTTATTTCGTTTGTAAAAATAGCTTTATTCTTCCCTAAGGCATAAATGACTATATTGTTGAATAAAACTTTAAAGTTTAATAAATAACTTTAAATTTTGGGTTTGTGATGTTTTAAAATGGATTTTCTGCCATCGCTCAGTCGCCAAAGCATTATCCGTTAATCATCACAGTATATGTGGTGATGACATATTCTTGCTTGTATCCTAAATAGTCGATAAGAGACAAATAAAATTTAAAAATAAATATATTTCACGTAATTAACTTTTCTGTTGGGCAATAGCATTTGTGTAACAGGATTAAGTTAGGTAACTACAAGGCTGACAAATCCTTGTAGGATAGAAGCCTTTTTAAATAAAGATAGATAATAAAACAAACTTTTTCTGTTGAGATTCATGTAAGATCTAATTTTAGAGGTTGCTACATCTTGTTTTAATAGACGCGCAGATCATCGATAGATTCAAGGGGCTCAGAACCGAGTATTGTGGCATTTCATAATGATGATGATGACATCTTGCTTATTAAAGCATAGATCAAACTTTATTTTGCTCCGTTTGTCCCTTTGGGTACGGAACCCTAAAAACATCATGTTTGCTAGAATGACGATTTGCACATGCGGTTTTGTTGTAATCTGTACTTGCATCAATATGATTTCTTTATTTTTATAGCTTAGGTATATACACAACATGTTACAAAAACCCTGTGGTTCCCGTTAAATACGTTATCAGGATCATTATTCAAACCTATAGAAATAACTTTTTTTAAAAACTTGAACAATATTTTTTTATTTAATTTAAATAAAATAAGTGTATGCTAATTGTATGTGGTTTTATTACCTCTGTATATAATGACATTTATAAAGCTACTGTATTGTTTTATTATTTTAGCTCCTGAGTTCAAAGGCTGGTTGGGTGGTACAATAGCTAACAATACCTGGTCCAATTACCAAGACGATTATACATGGTTTAAATGTTTTGGCGTTTTTTTCCCGACAATCACTGGAATTTTGGCAGGAATTAATATGAGCGGGGATCTAAAAAATCCTTCAATAAATATTCCTAATGGTTCTCTAGCAGCTATTAGTACTGGGTACGTAAACATAATTCATAGAAAATAAGTCTATTCCTTTCTCTTACTTAGAAAATGTTAAAAATATGTTATATAGATATAATATTAAACTATATTACGCTATACTACACTTAGAAGTAAATAGCCCATAGCTAATGTAATGTATAGACTTACTATATCTTCCCTGTTCATAAAAAAGTAAAGTTATATAATATTTTTACGAGCTTGGGGTTCGAGACAATTAAAAACTGCCGAGTGAATTACCAAAATTGACAGTTTAATTACGCAACACAAATTACAACTTAAAATCACACTAATAATAAAACACAGTTCGCCGTTATTTCGCTTCGAAGTATTCTCTTGTATCGCCAATTCGATACTGACTTAGTCGTGGTCTACACCGGCCTTATATAGGGCCATGTACAAGACATTAATAGCGGCGCGCAACACTGCCCCCTCCTGAGACATGCTCGTCCCGAGCATTATTGGCCCCATAATAACGCGCCAGTCTATCCACATGGACAATCTTAGGAGTACCTCTTCTAACATCAGTCAGCACCCGCCAGTTTCCCTGCTGCTGCTGGGCGGTGCTGTTAGCCACACTACCCTCTCGAGATCGATCACCTTTTTCTACAGTTCGTTTAGGGCATCTGGATCGAAGATGGCCCCTTTCCCACAGCCGTAGCACCTAGAGCTGTATCCCTTATTGCGGTCGTAAACTGTAGCCGCTGCAACCTCCCTGACGCAATAGGAACGATGATTATGCCACACGGCTTCCACCTCCAGTGCATGGGCCAACGCGTCCTTAAGCATCTCGTGGTGCCCGAGCTTCACAGCAGCTCTGACTTCAAGGTCTCGGATGTCGTCGATGAATGTCTGCACCAGGTTCCCTACAATAACCGCAGGTACAGACTGGTATGCTTTTCGAACCAGCTTCTCCACCTCAAGGGCCCACTGCTGCAGGTTTTCGTTGCTGCGTTGCACGCGATATTTGAGCTGCGCATGAAAGACGTGTTCCAGGTGAGTGTTGCCATATCTCGACTCCAATGCCTCAAGGAGCTGCTCGTAAGTCACTTCCTTACCGAGAGCTTCCAGAACAGTTAAGGCTTGGTCGCGTAGGCCTAGGGTGAGAGCAGTCATGGCCTGACTTTTATTTCAGCCGTTCGCCTTCATAACAGCCTCGAACTAGATTTTGTAGGACCACCAGGAAGAAGTCCCGTCGAACGGCGGCACTTTGAATAATCCACCTAGCGAAGGTGTTGTAGCTACCACGGGAGCTGTAATTCCATCTCCATGTTTGAGGGCGTCCAGCGTTTTCTTCACGTCAGCCATCACGTTGTCAACCCGATTGTACACTTGATCGATTCGGGTTTCAGCTTCCGACAGGCGGTTGTCATATTGAGCAATCCTATCCTTCAACTCCTTTATCTCTTTCCCGAAGGTAGCGTAAAGGTCCTTCATGAGGAGCATCTGCTCTTCCTTATAGCGTTTGAGCTGCTTTTCCAACGGCGGCCGACGGCCCTGTTCCTTCTGTTGGCGGGCCTGTTCCTCCTGTTGGCGGGCATGTTCCTCCTGTTGGCGGCCCTGTTCCTCCTGTCGGCGAGCCTGTTCCTGCAGCATCATCATCAGAGCTCCTAAGTCAGGTGCTGCAGATGCAGGAGCTGCTGACGGGCCGGCCTCCGTGGTCGGCAACTGGCCCACCGACGTGTGTGACGTTGCACCACCAAATCGTCTCTAGTCCGTCTCCTGTTGGCGTTGACTTCGGGTACGGATACCCTCCGTGTCGTCTTTAGGTAAAATCGGCATATTTGATCCCACTTCTGACACCAATTGTTACAAGCTTGGGGTTCGAGACAATTAAAAACTGCCGAGTGAATTACCAAAATTGACACTTTAATTAAACAACACTAATTACAACTTAAAATCACACTAATAATAAAACACAGTTCGCCGTTATTTCGCTTCGAAGTATTCTCTTGTATCGCCAATTCAATACTGACTTGGTCGGGGTCTATACCGGCCTTATATAGGGCCTCAGATAGTTTCCAGAACCTTCTACTGTAGCGACATCTAGAATGTTCGAGTACATATCGGTCCCGAAATTTCTAGAAGGATCTTGACTCTCCTAGTTCTGCTACTCGACACTAGAGGGCGCTGATGGTAACTAGTGTTGCCATGTACAAGACATAAATAGTGGCGCGCAACAATATTGTTGCGCGCCACGATTAATACATGGCGACACTAATGGTCACTAGCGCTCTCTAGTATCGAATAGCAGAACTAGGAGAGTCAAGAACATTCTAGAAATTTCCATGGAAGAATTTTCTAGAACTATCGACACCTAGTCAATCGGGACCGATATGTACTCGAACATTCTACAAATTTCTATAGTAGAAGGTTCTGGAAACTACCTGAAGCCCTATATAAGACTTGGCGATACAGGCGAATACTTCGAAGTGATACAACTGCGAACTAAACTGATATGTAGTACAATTGTTTTGTTATTAGTGTGGTTATAAATTGTAAGTAGTGTTCTGTAATTAAAGTGTCAATTTTGGTAATTCACTCGGCTGTTTTTAACTGTCTCGAACCCCAATCTCGTAACAATATATAAATATACGTCTCACTGCTGGGCACAGGCCGCCTCTTATTCCGCTGCGCTGCTCCAGTGCGTGTTTTGAAATGTAATTCCTCAGACATACATATTTCTTCACTATGTTATCCTTTGCCGTCGAGCACGTAGTAAATCTTCATCATCATCTTTACAGTCTATCGAAAGTCCGCTGCTAAACATAGGCCTGCCACATATATGGCGTTATAAGGAGATATTTGCCATAGTTGCCACGCTTGGCAGGTGGGTTGGGTACCGCATTTTTTATTATTTTTTGTTATGAGTAATATGCTGCCCATCTTCTGATGATTTTTTCCCTGCGAGGATAATATGGTGTAGCGGACATTCTTGCGCCATCACTACGTGGCGATGTAGTAAATCAGCGTTTAAATTTGCGAACAATAATGTTTTGGTGCCGGCGCGAATCAAACCGGGGTTGTTCGCGTACGGTAAAATTAACCGCGGTTGTGACCCACATATGGGTCATTGCTATTGTTTTACTATTGTGTCTGAAAACCGGACAGTGAAAGTGTTAATTTAATGTCATAGACATTTAAAACATTTTTGTTATTATTAGTAGAAGTGTATGTGTAAGAATGGTTCGCACTGAAACCACCGTATAATGACACCACAATGCTGCTACTTACTTTTCTTGGTATGGTGAATGACGAGATACGGAGACCCTTTTACTGGTAATAAGACATTATGACTACCATTTCTAATAACTTAATTGAAGACAATATCTATGGGCCACCGTCCTAAAAAAATGTATTATTATTACTAGCTTTTCTATTACAGAACATTCTTGTATTTAATGTTTATCATCACGTTGGCGGCAACTGTCACACGCGACGCTCTTTTAAAAAACTTTTCCATAACAGCCGATATATCAGCGGTGACGGTTCTACTCTTGGCGGGATTATATGTTAGCTCTATGAGCTCGTGTCTTGGAGCCATGTATGGTACACCTAGAGTTCTGCAGAGTATAGCCAATGAGAAAGTCATTCCTGGATTAGATATTCTCGGACATGGGGTAATTGTTATAATTTCACTTTAAAATTTATAATAGCTATAATATATTATATAGATTAGTTTCTTCTATGTTGTAAGTATAATATATCATGTATTATACTGTAAACAGGGCGACATAGTCACGTCTATGATGAAGCCTGTCATCCTCTCAATAAAGAGTAAAAAAATCACCATCGAAGCACTTGTACAAATTCTATACGCCCCTCCCCAGTGAATACATTGCCATTGTATTTATTCAACGCGACAACAATTTATATTTATTATTATATCTGCTTTACCTATGTCTTAAAAAAAGAAAAACGGTTGCAACTTGATTAAAATAGTAAAGGTGAGATATATAGAAGGAGCTTACTATAGTACATTCGAAAACCTAGAAGTTCCGATAAATTGTTAAATTTTTTTCGACAATTTTCGACGTACATGAACGTCCTTGGAAGAACCAGTAAGAAACCTATCGGGACTTTTTTTTTAAATAACAGCTTACAATCAGAGGCGTAGCGTAAACGTGGGCGAAGTTGCATCAGCGAGGCCCCTATTCTTTTGTTCCAAGGGTCTACCCAATAGATCTATCCTACCAAACATGCTTTGACACGACATGCGAGGGCGATACTGAAAGTTTTTAGAACTGGCCACTTGTAGACTTCGATTGGCCTTTCACGTTGAAGCCCTATCTCGTGCCACTGAAGATAACATCAGTGTTGTGCGGCGTATGATAGAGACTGACAAAGATTGACATATCAGCAGATTCGGACAAACTTAGGCATCGGTATACTCAAGTGCACAAAATCCTCCATGAAAATTTAGCGGCCAGGAAGCTTTGTGCCCGGTGGATAGCTCATTGATAGAGGCCGAAAAACTCCTTCGTGTTGATTGGTGTCGTGAAATGGTTCAAAGATTTAACGGAGATGACTTAAATGCTGTGTTCAACATACTTACGGGTGGATTTATTGTTATGATCCTGAAAGAGACAGTCCGCTTTCTGAGTGTTTCATTCCGAGGAGTTGCCAACTAAAGTGAAGAGAAGACTAAGCGTGGGATAAAAGATGGTGGTCTACAGTTCATTATGCAACAATTGTTTTAGTGGAACAGTTACTGCAGAGTGGTACACTAATAATTGTTTGCCACTTGTCTTGGAAAAAGTTGGGGAGAAACGACCTCGCAGTAGGATCCTCTTTCACCACGACAACGCCTCGTCGCTCACCGCCAAGCAAACAATCGAACTGCTTGGCGACGTCAGACATGGAATTACTCGGTCACCCGCCCTATAGCCCCGACCTCACACCTTGCGATTTTTGTTTATTTCCGAAAGTAAAAGAAAAACTTCGAGGAAAACGTTTTATGGACGCCGAGGAAGCAGTGGCTGCTTTTCAAAATGCCGTCGAAGAGACCCTTAAGGAGTGGGCAAAGTGCTTTTCTCAGTGGTTCCATCGGATGCAGCGATATATTAATGTAAATGGACGCTATTTTGAAAAGATATAATAAAACTATAACTTGCTAGATTGTTCACTTTTTGTGTGTAAGTAAGTTGTGTGTATATTGTGTGTAAGTGTGTGAGTGTGATATATTAAGTTAATGCTCTCATTGAATAATATTAACAATATTGTGAACACAATAAAATATGTTGTCAATTAGCGAGTAACTTTTTATGTGTGTGTTGATTTTTTTTACAAAATTGACTTAAAAAAAGTATTTCTTAACGTTAAATTGTTGATTTTTACTTTAAAATAAATAAATATATTGCTACATGACCATTACAGTTACTATTTTTCATTAACATGCTTACCTATCTGTATAAAGTATAAAAATGTATAAAAAATATACCAGATTTCAGTATACAATAAAAATAAAATTAACATGTCTAAATAAGTTTCGGTTTCCGTTTCGGCCGAAACAGACACCCAAACCGAAGGTTCGTTTTCGGTTTCGGTTTCGGTTGAAAATCTTGTTCGGTCGGACACTAGTTATAACCAAACAGCGTAACGATTATGTATAGATTAATTTATAAATACACAAGCAGCACGAACGTTGTTCGCTTTAATGGATGTCATACAACACATTCTGGATATTATCGGGACGATTCTGTGGGGAGCGGACGTGGTACCGACATGTCGCCGATAACCTGTTGGCGACAATATTCTCTTAGATAATTTAGCACCATATAATTTTTAAGTATCGTAATAGTGCGCTTAGATAAATGACAAATAATCTTGGAGCATATTGACAGAATAAACAAATAAAAATTACCTAATAATCCGCTTTACGAGGCTTCTGATATCGTAATCACCAATATGCAGCTGTTTTTGGTGTTATTAACGTGAGTTAATACATAGATATACGAAAAATGATATCAAGTAGCTATTCCACTATCTTTAGGAGTGTATTTTCTATTTTACTTCTTTCCGTTTTACCGTTTCTAACAAATCGTAAAACCAGTTTGATTTTTGTTTTTGTCTACGGCACCGCATGTGATTTTTGGTATTATTTTTATTTTTATCTTATTTTTTCTTTTACAGAGAGGTCCAAACAAGGTGCCTATATACTCAATGGTTGTAGTAGCTGTAGTGACAGTAACATTCATAATTATTGGCGACATCAACAAACTCGCTCCCATTGTCACTATGCCTTTTCTTATTACTTACGCTAGTATAGATTATTCTTATTTTGCTCTCGCCCAAACATTTGATTTGCAACACAAACGAGAAATGAGGTATGATTTTATTTTTTTATTCTTCATAAATTTTTATTTATTTTATTATTCTTCATTAATTCTTCATAACACAATTATTACTATTTATTTATTTTAACGTTTATCAAGAAAAGATAAAAGATAATTATTTTTCTTCAATTATTTACGAACATATCATGTTTTGCATTGTTGCATAAACATTAAGTTATAATAAACTAATTGTTTGTATATTTTATAGCCTATACAAAAAGTAAACAAATATTTAACCAAAGATCCATATTTTATTAACAGGGCTAGCACGTTTTACACGAGCAATGTACTAGTAAATTTCGAAGTGTTTTTAACACTGTTAACGTAAATACATTTTTGTAAATACTTGTATGAATATTTTTGATTAATGTTTATTATATTTAGTTATAGGATAAAATTGTTGTTAAGTTTCAGTATAGTTTATATGTATAATATAGAAAATACATTTATACATAGAAAACATGATTATGAAAACACCACCAAACAATCTACTAAAATTATTAACGAATATAGATTTTATCACTCCGTGTCCGTGTTTTCCCTCCCAGTATTTACTTAATTTTTACTTCAGAGTTAGAGTTTTTTTCTACTCTTAAATTAATAACCGTTATAGTAGAGACGTTAAAAAATATAAGACATTATATTAAAGTAAAATAGTAGTAAATTTAATAAATAATTAAAAGGTACTATATACATACTGTATTTTTTTACTCTTTGTTGAAAGCCTTAGGAAACCACGGAATATCGTTCGTGACGTAGGAAGGGGAAAAGATGCAAAGCTATACGGACACTCGCGCTCAGCAATAAAGTTTAATTTAGTTTGCGTGCGCGATTTATTCTAATTAATAATAAATCATAATTATGTAGACTATTTAAAACGTCGGCAAGTAGTCAACATCAAAAAAGTGCAACTTTTGTACGTAGTACTATTATTATTTATTACGTGACTGAAGGTACTACTAATACACTGATACGAGTTTTCATATTAACTACCATAACTTTCAGAAGGCTTTTGTTTTTAGTAATATTTAATTATTAGAAATGAATATATACAATTATAAATAAGAAAAAAAATGTGGTATAAACTGTATTGATTTATTTAAATTAAGTTACGACACATGTGTCATAGGACGGTGGGCCCTCTCCCACTTCTGAGGGAGTTACAGAGCAAGTAGTCCACCGCGCTGCTGTACGTAGCTGGTTACACTAGTTACAGTCACAGTGTCCCTTCATTTCTAGGAGGGCTTGAGTGTTTAGTGACATTTGATTTTCTATCATCAAAATCTATATAGGTTCCTTACTTTAACCTTTTCCGCATTATATAATATTTATTTATTCCTATAAACATGAATCAAGGGAGACATATAATTTATAAAAGTATAAATTATATTGTTCCTCCAGGATCTCATGCGACTACCGCGACAACATCTGAATATTTTCGGAGCTATCAGTATAAGTTATCATATAAATTATATTCCGTATGGTAATGCAGGATATGTAGACTATACTCAAGTGCTACCTGCCCTTGAGTACAGCCTACATATCCACACACAAAATTCTACCAAACCAATACCAATACTAATGTATTTTCGTAACTCATGTAATAAGTTCAATTGTTCACTCGGATACTGTGTCAGAAACACGGGGACAATTCGCATTAATCCTCATTTCAGTAACTTTCCCAAAAAAAGTGATTGATGATTTTGCACAAATGACAAGAATTACTAGTTTTTATTCACATTTTAAGTTATTTTAAATTCATTATTTTTGATATTTGTAGCATTAATCAAAATTGGTTTATAGATTTCAGGGGCACTCACAAAGAGATACTCAAGTATATGGAGCCACTGGTAGCGATCTTGACCTATTGTTTCCTGAAAGAATAAGACACAAAAATGTCGGCGTAAGTATAAACGACTGCATTTCATTTTATATAATTTAAAATTAAAAATTTTGTACAGCCGACTTCAATATAAGTTATTAAGAATAACTCAAAAACTATTGGTCTGACCTTGATTAAATTCATATGGAACTACACAAGAAGTACCAGCTTTCAAATAAAAAAAGAATCATTGAAATCGGTTCAGCCAGTAAAAAGTTATGAAGTAGCACACATTAAAAAAAACATGCAGTCGAATTGAGTACCGTCTCCTTTTTGGAAGTCGGCAGATAAAAAGTATTTTTCTATAAAATAAGAGTGACAAACGAGCATATAGTCCACATAATGGTAAGTGAGGTGTGTGGTGCATAGACATCAATATATATCCTCGATTAGGAATTAAAATGCAGATGCGATGTCACTCCTGAGGACTGAGATAGAATGCCTCGTTTCCAATAGAAAGGGTCTTCGGTTCTCTACACTCACCATATGAAACACAGCAGCATTAAGCTGCTATTTAATGTGGTATTCTGTGAGAGCGTAGTCCTTCCTCGGTCGAGTCGACCTATCCGTGCTACTACCATAACATAGCTGCTACATGGCTCTACCAACCCCGTATGATGTTAAATTTTCATATTATTAAATATTAAACGTCCGCTTTCACTCCAGGATTTCACACCGTCGCCAACTGATCCAGCGATAATGAATGGACGCATGTCAAATGGCGATATAAATCGACCTAACGTTAATGTACATTCTAAGAACAAAAATTGGTATTCCCACCTATGTAATCGATGGCTTTCTCTTGCTGGCGTAAGTATATATTGCATAGTAAGCAATTAGTTATCATACGTTAAAAGTTGTCTTTTGTCACTGGTAGCTTGCCCAAACTCGCATAATATGCATATTAGCTGCACATAACCACAGGGAAACATTACGCTAGGTATTCCTAGGAGAAATTGGACATAGTTACATAAAAATCCAATTAACATAGCTTTATGTAAATTGGGTTTTGAGATTATTTTATATAATTCCTCGCTTCAGTTTCTCTGTAATTTTGCTAGTAATTTGTCATGCATGTCTTACTTACATCTTTAATGCTTCCCGTCGCTGGTATGCGAATTTACAGTTGTGATATACAAAATGGTTATGCTGCCATTTATCCGCTGTATTAGATCTAATCATTTTAAATAATCAACTTATAAAATTCCCATTTTTGAATAAAGTGTAAAATACCTTTCGATAACATTTCTTCTTTCGACCTGGTAAGATAAGCAGGATACGATTCCTTGGGCTAGTTCCTATATTCAGGAGTGGACTTGTGAAGGGCTGTAATGATGATGATGATGTTTGATGATAGATTTTCATATAATACTTATTGAAAGTTTGTTTTATATTTACCACTGGTTAAGGAAATACCTCTATCCACTGAAAGAAATGGTCAGATGGATTCTTTCACGCCACGATTTCATGGTGATGGGTCGTCTAAATAATTGTCCTTTACTTTTTAGGTTGCTATTAAACTTCTACTAATGTTCCTGGTTCATTGGGTGTACGCTCTTGGTTGTTTAACAATTCTGTGGCTTTTATGGTTGTACATCGGAGCAGCGAATCCTGCAGTAAAACCTGGCCGAGCATCGGAGTTTCGATTTTTCAATTGGCTGAAATTATCTTTTCTGCAAGCTATCGGGTAATATTTGTTTAATTTTGGCATTCTTATACACTGTTATTAGGCTTATACTGCTGTCTTACCAGCGGGACTTCAATTTATAATTTTGTTTGATTTTGCGTTTTAATGTACCTCAGCATCAATATTTTTAGGTGGCGACCTCCCTACTATGGGGACGTTTTTTTGAAACGCCACGTTTAGCTGCTCGTAGTAGTGCTTTAAGCTGCTTTCCTTCACCGGTTTTAAAGATTTTGCATCTGTCGTAAAAACTATGGTTTTATCGCCATCTGTCGGAGGACACAACAACTTCTGGGCCTATTTCTAAGTTGTCTTTTAGGCCGCATAAACATTATTATATTGTCTTCATAAAAATGTGATGTCAAAATCTCTCATTATAGTTTGTAAGCTGTCAGTCAATTATATATTTAAAAAAAAGTTACCTAGGACTTTCTCCTGTATCGCAGGGGCAGTTTACAAACATAAATGTTACAAGCACAAACATCCAGACCCGGAACAATTATTTGTAGGCCATACAAATACTTGTTCCGTGCGGTATTCGAACCCGCGACCTTGCCACGGTGTCGCCACGTCTGAGCTGCTAAACTAAATGATCATATAGGTAGAATCTACATTCTCTCAAGATGGACGATGATATAGTTGTTTATACAGCTGCCGCTCCAGCCACTGTTATCATTTATGCTTTAGTAAAAAAAGAATCAAAAGTATTTAATTAGAGTGGTAAAAACAGGACGTATTTGGGTCAGACTTTGGGTGAGACGTCGCTCGGAAAAAAGGATTTACAATACTTTACTCGAAGAACTAAGAGTAGAGAATCTCCGAATGCATGAGCACTTATGTAATTATATTTTGCCTTGACTAGGCTCGATTTGATTCAATTTTTTCATTTACATCTTTTCAAACGTCTTGCATTTTGACGCCATTTTTCTGTCGCCGTTTTCAGATCATTTTTATCAGCACATTGTCAAATAGGTTGATACATATATGATCATAGATAATTTGAGTCAAATTTACAAAAACCTAATCTGCAATATTTTTCTATATTATATGAATCTTAATATATCTGTGATTATTTTGCATATGATAATGTAATAGCGGCCTTACGATACCTAAGTGATAGCTTCTCAAAATTTAAATATTGCATTTCATTTGTTAAAAACTTATTACTTATTTATTATTGTTCGTTCAAAACAGAAAGCGTCCACTAGAATATGAGCAACTAGTAGTTACGCCAATGCACTCCGACATAACAATGGAGCAAGAAAGGCTGAATGACGACAACGAAGATTTCGCATCGCGCCGCCGCTATCACCAGTCCACCGCGCTACAAAGTCACCTCGTTAGCGTTGATACCTAAATCATTAAGTCCAGACTGATTCTTAATTATGATATAACTAAAACTACATCGAAAATTCGTTTTTATATATGCTTTTTAATAGAAATATCATAAGCTAAATTATTCTAATATACTCCATCATTAATGTGATACGATACAGAAGGCTTGTTATTAACTTGTAATGTTATTAACTTTATTTACATATAAAAGTAGGAATATTAAATTATTCACTGAAACCAATATATTCTAATATGTAGGTCTTAATAAGTTGAGCATAGCCAAAAGCTTGGTTTCGTCGTCACTTGCAATGTACTGAGCGCTCCGTCTATCTTTCTTTGTAGGTCTAAGAGTATACCATAGTGAATACATATTATCACTTATGCAACTCTTATGAAAACATCACTTATGAATTTGGTAAAGAGTAACCAATATATATTTGGCGTCATGTTTACGTTGTTTTTATAATGTTTATATTAAGTTGTATTTTTAAATTATGTAATTATATATTTTATAATTACAATCTTGTCCAGTGGTACTTATTCTAAATTTCCTATTAACTTTGTTAATAAAATGAATTGCTTGTATGGCAATCATTAAATTATTTTAATATGCATAATATTAACAATTTTTACGTTAAAATGGAATTGACAGTGTTTAAATAAGAAATTATTTTATATATAGATTTAATAACCGTGAGTAGTATGTATACAAGAACATTGGATACCCAGAATCAAGTCGTATAAATATACCTAAGTAATAATTATTTAATAAAATGTAATGGCTATTGATTTATATGAATTATGTTATATGAAATTAATTTTACGGATTTCAACTCAATTTATTTATTTTATGCTTACTTGTTTAACTCTTCGATAGAATAGAATAGAATAATTTTTATTCAATATTGATTACATGTAATTCTCATTGAAAAATAAGACCGATAATGGAATATGCCTAAATCATTGTGAACCTATTTTATGAGGTGAAATCAACAGTTAAAGTTATAGTGAACAGATCTCGTCTTCAACCTGCATATTTCCATTTACTGAATTTACGTCTATAAAAGAATGGGCGGTTTTACACCCGCCATCGGCACGGCGCCGGTATCCAGGCTCCGTTTATCCACTGGGCCGGTGTCGGTGCCGAACTACGCTCGATTTTAATAATAATAATAATAAATACTTTTATTTCTCAAAAATTTATCATACATGTTTTTGAGACGCCGCAGAGAGTAATTTACATACTCGTATTGGGGATGCCTCGCTCTTCAACCCATTTTACAGTTTTTAAGACTTAAAAGTTACAAGTTTAAAAGTAAAACTTACATAATTAATAAAGAAAAAGTTTATTACAAAAAAGAAGGTTAAGCTAAGCTAAATAAACTTTACTAGTGTGTGTGTGTGTGTGTGAGAGAGTGAGAGAGTGAGAGTATGTAAGTGGACGTGTGTGTGTGTGTGTGTATTCCTCTACTAACCCTTAAGACTCCAATCTTGGAATCAGGGTAAGCCATTGTGCAGAGAGGTTGTGTAAGTGTGGGTAAGTGTGTAAACCTAATTTATGATGTATGGAACTTACACAATTTTATCTATGAGTTTCTCTGTTTCATCATAACTTAAATCTGATAAGAAATTTGTTAATATCCTTTTACATTCATATAACTTTTCAGGGTATATATTTAGTTTTCGATTTAAAGTATTATATAAGTAAGCAGACCGTGATGTCAGTTGACGACGAGCAAAGGCAGTACGTACTGCGCGAGATGGTGCAACTTTTTCCATACGTCTTTTATTGACGTTAACTTTATTGGGGTCAAAAGGTAGTTTTTGGTGAAGGTGAAGAAGAAGTTTCAAAATATATAATTTCCTAATCGATAAGAGTCCACACATTTTATATAGTTCATGTGTTGAATATCTATATGGTTTAAAGTACATAACCTTCAAGAGTGACCTTTGACTTCTCTCTAAGTGAAGAAATTTGGTTTTAGTTGCACCACCCCACACAGGAATACAGTATGTAAGTATGGACTGTGCAAGGACAATGTAAATTTTGCTTAATAAAGTACTAGACATAATATACCTTAGATTTTTAAAGATCCAGATAAGCTTACGTATCCTGCCAATAATCGCTTCAAGTTGAGTATGCCAGGAGAGCCTTTGATCGACCATAATACCTAGGTATTTAATGCAGCTAACTTTTTCAATACTCGGGCATAAACAACTATGGTTATTGAGACTCGCACAGGTATGAACCTTGAGCCGAAACTTATCATCCGGTTGAGTTCTCTGATCGAGAGAAAAGCACATGTATTTAGTTTTTATGGCGTTTAAGGTTAGTAGATTAATGCTCAGCCAGTTAGCAATAACTGCTAAGCCCTTTTCGGAGACATTTTGCACTATTTCCCAAGAACTACCGGAGAAAACAACCGCAGTGTCGTCGGCGTATGAGAAGATCTGTCCTCCACAGTTTCTTAAGTTACACAATTGATTAATATATATTAAGAAAAGAGTTGGGCCGAGGACAGATCCTTGTGGGACACCATAGGATATACATTCTTCTTGACTTACACTAGTGCCAATTTTAACCATTTGTTTTCTCTCAAGCAGGTAGTCTTTAAAGAGAGCAAGAGCCGTGCTTCTTATTCCAATGCTCTCTAGCTTAAGAACAAGTCTGGGGACAGAGACGGTGTCAAAAGCTTTTTTTAAGTCGAGAAAGATGGCAAGACATTTTTCTCCACGATCGACCTTTTCTATAATCATCTTTGTTAAATCAGATATTGCGTCTTGTGTAGATAAACCTTGTCTAAAGCCATATTGTGAATTTGAAAGAATTTTGTTATGGTGCAAGTAACTGAGGAGTCTTTTATTCAAAAGTTTTTCTAAGATTTTGGAGATACATGGCAAGACAGATATAGGACGGTAATTGTTGACATCGCCTCTCTCTCCATTCTTGAATACCGGTGTGACCAGTGAACGTTTCAGAGCCCTTGGAAATTTCCCTGTTTTAAAACACAGGTTGGCTAGTTGGCTAATTAGTGGAGCCACAAAATCTTTACACCTTTGCAGAAACAATGTTGGTATACCATCCCAACCAGGAGCGCTTCTGGAATCAAGACTCATGAGTATATCAGAAACTTCGTGTGGGTCAGAGTCCAATAAAACAAATGAGTTTAGACTTGATTTAATCTCTAGGGAATTGTCATGTTGCAATAATGGATTATTAGTTATATCTTCAGCCAGAGATTTACCAATGTTGACGAAAAATTTATTAACTATATTTACTGACTCAAGAGGGTCTGGTGACAGGTCGAGGAGACTAACATTAGAAGTTTTAGTGCTTTTGAATTGGGTTATTTCATTAATTTTGGACCATAGTAATTTGGGATTTTTACAAGATAATTCTATTTCATTTTTATAATACTGTCTTTTTAATTTCCTAATTAAATTTGTGCAAAAGTTTCTAAAACGTTTAAAAGTTATTTTTAAAACTTCATTTGCGGGTTCTTGTTTCGCTTTTAGTTGCATGCTATTCCTAAGCCTAATACACCGCAAAGCACCTGTGGTAATCCACGGTTTTAAAATCCTTTTGCTATTTTTAACCAGTTTAACTTTAGTATTTGCATCAATTGCTGCTTTTATTGTATCAATTAAGATGTCAGCCAAAATATTTGAGTCATAACAAGTCTTAAAATGAGAGATATCTGTGTTTACAAGTGTTAAATGAGCTGACTTGTAATCGATAGTACATTCAGTCTTAGGAAACTTATTAATTAGCTTGTACGATTTATTAATGCTGAGTAAAACCATAGCATGGTCAGTAATTGATGTATTAAGTACTGCTACAAGTGCTGAGTTCGTATGTTTATCAAATTTTAGGAACACATGATCAAGGCAGTTGTCCTGTCTAGTGGGTAAACAATGACCGGACAAGAGTCCATGTGAAGATAAAATGTCTAGGTACTTCTGCCTGTTACTGTGTTGATACGCTGGCTCTGTCGGCTTAGTAATTAGGTTAAGATTAATGTCGCCAGTTAAAACAATATTCTTATGGGAGGCTATAGTTTCCAAGTGCGTATTTATGGAATCAATAAACAAATCAGCGTTTGCGACTGACGGGGATCTATAGATACCCAATATAATGAAGTCAGAAGTAACGATTTGTAAACCTGATGCATGTGTTAGCTTTAATTCGGATACTTTTTGCACTTTTAAGTCTTTTTTAATATATGCTACAACCCCGTCATTCTGATTTAGCTGACGATTAATTTTATATGGTTTATAATTATCCAATGTTGGTATTTCTTTATTAACATTTAACCTGCATTCTGTCAATATTATGACATCAGTTTCAAATGGCAATTGTGACATATTAATCAGTAAATCATTAATGTTGTGATATATACTCCTAATATTTTGGGTTAGTATTGTAAAATTGGAATTAGGTATAGGCTGCATTACTTTAGGTAAGTCCTCTATATTACATACTACAGATTTAGCGATTTCAGTTTCGTCCAAATCTTCAATTGTTTTCATAAAGCTATCCATAATTGTTTGCAATAATAACTGAATCGTTGTAGCTACAGAAGGTAGTAATGACATTATCTATATGGCATTTTGGCGTAATTTTTAATTCATTTGTTTTTGTAAGAGATTTGTAGATAATACCCAAAAATTTAAATGTGTAATGGTTTTTAAGATGATGCCTAAGTGAGTGTGTGTAAGGTTTTGTATTGTGTATGAGTTTAATGTGTAATTTGGTTTCTATAAATAATAAAGGGTGTGCAAATGTGTAGATTTTTGGTTTAGTATAGTTATTTATGTATTTAACAATCATAAAAGAATCATAATTACATGAGAATAATACTACATGTGTGAATTTTAGCACTAGAAGAGATAATATAATTTTGAAAGTAATTATAGAGAATAGTCATGCATCTTGCATTAACTGATGTACCTGAGATTCGCTGATGATTTTAATAATTCGGGTGTTATCATCTTGTCGCACAAATACCCTGCCAAAAGACGTCCAGCAATATTTAAATTTCTTGGATCTCACTAGATCACGAGCTAGAAAGAATAGACGAGCCCCTTTAGGAGTCAACTGTTCAGATATAAAAACAGGGGCGTCTTCATTAATTTTGAGTCCGAGATGCTTCGCCTGCAGTTTGTATTTATTTTTAATATTGAAAGATTTTGTCTTTTGTAATAAATCAATTTTTTGAAGAGTGGATCCAAGTTCAACGATGATGGGAGTATTTATAACATTTCTGTCTTTACCTTGCAGCCTAAAAACGTCTTTTATGTCATCAGATTTCATGTCCAAGTTGATGGTATTTGATAAGTTGAGAACCATTTTTATGAGATCTTCTCTTTTTTCTTCCTTAACTTTAGGTACGTTTTTAATCTCGATACTTGTTTTTCGTAATGTCCTCTGTAGATCTTCCACCTGTTGCTCAAGGATCTTGACATATTCTCGATCAGCTTTAGCTTTTGTTTCCAGGGTTTCTACTTTCTTGCAGAGTTCCTTGTTCTGAGCGGTAAGTAATAATATTGACGAGTCAATATTAGCATTTGTATCCTTGATCGATTGCAATTCCCCTTTAATTTCTCTTAATTGAGCAGTCTGAGGAGCCATTAAGGTTGTAATTAGATCCCTCATCTCTTCCTTAAATTTGACGAATTCCGTTGGTAAGTCCTCCTCTCTCAGTCTCTTATTACGCTGCGTAACTAATTTCGATAGCGTATCCTCGTGACTCAATCTTTCCACATCCGTAGTAGAGAAAGATCTATTCATGGCCATGTTCAAATAATAAAATCGAGTTAAAAATTAATTCTGTACTATTTAATTTGAAGTTATTTCGTTCCAAAAATGATCCAATCAGTACCAGAATAAGGATCTAATTAGTATCAGAATAAGGATCTTACAGAATAAGAATTCAATCCACCAGAATAGGGATTCCAAATTATATTTTATCAGAATAAGGATGTCAGCTACCAGGAGCACATGAAGCGGGCGAAGCTAACGCAAACAGTGTAGTAGCAATTGCTTGCACGCACACAGCAGTTGCGGATGTGTATGTGAATTACTCACCCTGCCACAGACTGTGTGTTGATATGGACTTCGTGCGGCTGTGTGCGATGTGTTGTTTCGCCAACGCGACGTACAGCGTCTAGATTACAACTCCTCTTATGCACTCCTATTATTTCAACTTAATTTATTGCTTGAATTTTGTATTTTATATTTTTTTAAACGACAAAAACGGGGTTACGTATACGTCTACTCGCTAACGAGGTCCGGGGGAAGAGAGATTTTTAGGCAGTACTTACACAGACTTCAATTCTGCAACACATAAAAATAGTATCATCAAGTAGTCGTATTTGTTTGTTATATCTCTTACATTTTAGACGAAAATATAATCAACTCAGGGGAGTCAAATTTTGAATTCGTCCAATCTTAAAAGTAAGATAGCTAGAAGGACCATATTGTACCCTATTTTAACATATTGATCCCTGGTTGAAAATGGACCCGAAAAAATATTTCAACTACTTCCGCATGAGCTAGGAGACATTTCATTAATTCACATGGCAATTTCGAGTCTGATATTAGTATGATGATGATCATGTGTGACCATTTTTGTTCACTGGTTCATAAAGTTTAAATGGCATCCGAGAATTTGGACAATTTAGTATTATAATTCTTATCCTATTATTATAATTTTCTTTATCCATATGTTTTAATGGGTGTGTCTTAAAAATCAAATTGAGTTTATTTTTATTGCGATACATTTTTTCAGCTTCCACAGGAGTAGCTGTGTATGGTTTTCTTGGAACATGGAACTGCTGTAGTTTTTGAGTGCACACTTCTTGAAGCAAAATAATTTTTTGATGAACCATGTTCTCAATGCCTAGTAAAAGGACTGCAACAAGTTTGCATATTGTATTTATTCCACTTCCAGCTGGGCATTCACAATGTGATGCTTCAGGTTTTCTATTTTGCTTAATTTGACATCAACTTTGTACTGCAGATTCTTCATTGTTTTCCAGCAGTAACCTTTTGTAAAAGTATTTTAACCAATAACAGAAGATCTTGCCATCAGTAAGTACCATGTATCATATAACTGTATAGCCGTTGCTATTTTTTTCTCTGTGCTAGAAAACAAAGAATTGTGTACTTAGTTAAATAAAATGTATTTATTTATTATAGTCTGTACCTACGTACAAACATACCCTTTCTCACAAGTCATTTTATCCTCTGCAAAAATTGCTTCTAAGCGATAAGTTTCATAAAGTTGCTATTTTTTGATGCATTACATAAATCTCTAATAATTGTTTTAATTTTCTCCATTCATCTCCTGCAGTCCAAATTTCATGTAAATTTCACAGTACGCGAGAACCCCGGGTTCGATCCTTGCCGCGGCACTAATGAAATTGTTAATTGCTATTTATCACGCGTGTTAAGTGCTGATTTATAACATGCTCGGCGGTGAAGGAAAACACAACTAAAACCATCTTAGAAGTGAGAGGAGGCCTGTCCCCAGCGGTAGAACGTATATAGGCTGTAATTTTATCTCCTACATGGCGTGCAGTTAAATCTAACTTTTCAGGCATATTGCAACTGGACTCCATTTTTATTAAATTACCACACTATTTTAGGAATGGTAAAGAATCAAAACATCAATATCCTTCAGACTGCGCCATGTATTAATCTTTATTTATTGTCTTTCTCTAGAATATTAACAAAGATTATAATTATTTAAAACAGTTTTTTATTCATACATTACTCAGCTTCGTTCTATCTACCATAGATAAGATTGCTCTAATCCCTATGTATAGACTAACCTTACATATTATTAGTGATGTATATAATATAATATGGCATGTATTCATTTGTTTTACGTACTGAAATTTGATGGCTAGGTATTTGGTGTTCAGCAGATCCTTCGCGTTCTCTGAAACTAAGATATTTTTCCTACGGCAACTATGAAAGAAGGTCGTGAGATTCTGCCATTAAAATATCTATAAGTGTGATAGACTGTAATTAAACAATGAAATCCGTAGAATTGATTTCTTTCAATGTGTAGAAGGTAGTATTCACGCTAACATAGGAAATCAGCATGTAAAACTATAATATTTAATAAATGAAAGTGAAACCATTATGATGTGAATATATAGCTGACTTGAAGCACCGACGTTCTGGGAAGTCTGCAGTGTGTGAACAAGTTCAAGATCGTCCCCGCCATTACATTAGATTTGATAGACCACAAATCTTCGCAAAAGAACACCGATTCCTATCAAGGATGATTTGCGAGGTTATTGAAATTAAAAAACATACTAATTTCAGTAGGGAAGATGGATGGGTGCTGCCATCTGCTTGGGATTTTATAATTGATAAAATTAAATCCAAACCCAAGCATACCACTAAATACTCACATTCTTCATCTTCTTTACTGCATTCTGTTCAATCCGACCACTACTTCTTATTTGAAAGACCGATTTATATATTTAAGTAGTTTACACTCTTTACCTCTACGATCTCAAAATAATCTCCTTCGAAGTACTCCTAGACATTCCTCTTCCTTCTATTCTAATTATTTTACGGTTACTGCTATACGACTATGGAATTCTCTCCCCTTACATATTAAAGAATCTAAATCTCTTCCTATATTTAAAAATAAATTAAAACTATATTACCTTTCCTCTTAAGTTACTACCTGTCGTCATTCACTTTTTTTTTCCTTTAATCACGTATGTTCTTCTATTTATCTTTCTATATTATATTCTGTACACCCCTTCCGCTTTTAAAATAGTATCCTCTGCCCTAAGGTTACCTGGAAGAGATCGCTGTGTTAGCGATAAGGCCGCCCGTTGTACCAATGTCCCTTTAAATATATAAATACTGCAATATGTTCCTTGGTGTACAATAGAGTATATTTTACTTTAATTTACCACTGCAAGACTTCAAGATACTGTAAGATCATTCTGCGTAGATCGGAACAAAAATTAATATTCAAAAACTGAAGGTAGCCGGGCTAACTATGACATCGGGACGTCAAACATCTCAGTACCCCTGTGACGCCATGGTCACGGGAGGACCCCCTTGTTGTAAAGGGAGATTTCCCTGCTGTAAAGCACCCGAAACGTCGGGAATTAAAAAGTTAAACGCGATAAAATCCGTAAAAATTAGTTTCATTTAATGTGTAGTCTTCGCGTAACTATAAGAAATCATGATGTGAACATCAATAAAGATGATCTTAAAATTCACCTTTGTTATGGAAACATTGTATAATATTGTTTACACCATTATATTGTATTATTGTATATAAAAAAATTTAAACTTGCATTCGTGTAGCTAGATCTAAAAGATACCTTTGAACTGGATAGGAATAAATGGACAATGCTACTGCAAAAGCGCAAATATATTATTAAATTAAATAAATTAACTATTTTTACATATATTTCTCGTTTAACTTAAAAACATTTTAGATTCCAGACTTATATAATGCATTAGAACCTATAGTCTATATAAAAGTACTGGAGTGTTAGTATTTGCGGTCAATACCATGACTGGACTGTAACCGAGCTTTGCTCAGCCTTAGAAAAGTATTTTATGTGGATGGCGGATAGACTAGGTGCGACTAACCGCAGATAAACGATACTTAGTATATACATAAATATATTTACATCGCTGACGACTTCTTGCGTCTTTTTACGATAGATACTTATTGCATCTTCCATTTCCGGCAGAATTACGATTGAATATTGTTAATTTATCTGTAATACATAGGTACTAATAACTTAGCAGAATAGGACAAGACGATATTCAATTTTGAAAAATTCTTGCTAATTTAGGACGTTCGTTCATGATTAAAATCATCTGGTACTCTGTATATTCCGTATATGGTTCGTATTTTTTGCTCACTTAATGCGTCCGTTCATGACGGAAATGATGTGACACTGTATATTCCGTATATGGTTCGTATGTTTTGCTCACTTTATGCGTCCGTTCATAACGGAAATGATGTGACACTCTGTATATTCCGCATATGGTTTGCTTGTTTTGCTCACTTAATGAGTTGACCTTGAGACAGTCCCTATTCCGTATGAAATCAGCGATTTTCGTAGTATAACCACTTTATGAGCTGTCGGGCGTACGATTCCTTGCGGAGAAATCTTTGTTATTTTTAGGGTTCCGTACCCTAAGGGTAACCAACAGGACCCTATTACTAAGCCTCCGCTGTCAATCCGTCCGTCAGTCTGTCTGTCAGCGGGCTGAAACTTTTACTTTTAACAAAAGAGTAGGCTGTTTTCTTGAAGGTCCTTAAGTCGTATCGGT